ACTGGCCCTCATATGTGGGATCTGAACCGGGGCCCTCTGGCGTCCCAAGCCAGTTCTTAACCATCACTGGCAGGCCCAGGGAGATGAACTTTAAAAAAACAGAACGTGAGTACCTACTTGTGTAGTTAGCTCTAGAATTTATAGTAAAAGAAAATGTACTCTTATTAATTGATGAAATTAACAGAACCTGATATAGGAAATACATGTAATCGTGATTACACCTCTACTACATAAATTTGCACCTTGAGGCTGAAGGGGGAAAAAAAATCTGTATTGTTACCAAAATTTGAAAAAGAAGGATTTGCAAAGAGTAGGTTTGAATTAGGAAAAAAGCAATACCTTAAAAATATAAAAAGAAAACAGAGCCTTTAAAATTGTATAATCATAAATTTAGATTCTCAGTCATGGATCTAAAGGTTAAATTTATTGAAAAACAAAGTAATATTAAAAGACTGATACTCTGAAAGAGCTAACTTTTAAAATTAAAATATATTATAATTCAGCACAAGAAAATTCACAAAATGAGCTGAGTCAAATTTAAACTAGAAATTTGGTGGGTAAAAAAGAATTTGAGCATCATCTTATAATGGCCTTCAATATCAATAATAAAAAAATGTTTTTTAAAAAATGCAAAAAACTAAAAGGGAAAACATTGGTACTGCTTAATGAAGACAAATCCCAGGATGAGCTCCGGAATGAAAAGGCGTTACCACAGAGATCACATTATTTCCACCCACCTTTAATGAGGGCATATCACTGAAGACATTGGTAGAATTATAAACAAGCAGAACAGTGACCAAGCAAATCAAACCACCTCAAATATAACATTAAGTTTCTTGGACATTAAAATATATTATTATTATTATTATTATTATTATTATTATTATACTTTTTGTTATGGAAAATTGTTATTATTCCTCTTTTTTGTTGCATGTTAGCAAAGAATCCCTATGCAGGCTTCACTCAATTTCAACGACAGGTATTGGAGTTTATGTAAGTATTAGTTTTAGTTATATACTTAAAATAGCTCCACTGGTCAATATTGTCCTTCAGCTTAGGTAAGAGATATTTACACTGGGAGACTCAGGTTTGGAGGAAATGTCAAGAAATCAATTAAACAAACACCTGGATAACGTATTTATTTTCATCTAAACTTATGATACCTAAACTAGGAAATTGCCTGACATCTTCTACAACTCATGACTTTGAGACTGCATTTGAAGAGTTTTTTTTCAAGAAATAAGAGCACGTATCATTACATAGCATATTTTAAATTTATGGAACTCATTAACCCATATGAGATTATACAAACTGAAAATATGTCTAGATTTAAGAAGAGTTTATATCAATTCATTTAAGAAAGTGATAGATGAATAAAAAATTAATTAAGGGATTTTTACATTTTAGGAGATTAAAATCATCGAAGATACCTGT